GGTGTGATAGTAATATGTTATTTTTTTAAAGAATATTTACCCCTGTTTCAGAAATTATTTTTGTGTCTCTGTTCATGTCCATTGCAGTAATCTTTTATTATATATAAACAAAGATTTTACAAGTATCTGTACTTTTTTCTTATTTATGAATATAAATAAACTTAATATACTTCTCCCTGTTTCCAATTTAAGAATTTAGCAAGTATGTAGCACATTGACACAGGTTTAATTTAGAGGTACAGTATCATTTCATTTTGACCGAGTAAAGTATTTTGTGATTAAACTATAAAATCTATTAACTCTTTTCAGCATGTGCTCAGTCCCTGGGTCCAACCTTGTGACCATTCTGTGCTTGTTATAGTTTTTATGCTATAACATTTAAATTAGTTAGTGAATGTTAATGAAATTTAGCAGATTATCAGTAAACATTACAATGTTTTCATATGCAAAATATCAGATTTTTTTATTAAGTCTTAAGGTTTGTAAAGCAATGTTTTTCTTGTGACTTTTTTTTCTTTTTTTTTGCATGCAAAGTAATTTTCATTTTAAGATTAAAAATATTTTTATCCATCAAAAAATTTTCAAATTTCACATGTGAAATCTTTATAATCTCCAGACAGTTATCAAACAATTCTTAGGAAAAAACTTTATATATTATGTTATTTTGACTCACAAATCTCTGTATGGGTATGGTTTTTATGCTATAACATTTAAATTAGTAAGTGAATGTTAATGAAATTTAGCAGATTATCAGTAAACATTACAATGTTTTCATATGCAAAATGTCAGATTTTTTTTATCAAGTCTTAAGGTTTGTAAAGCAATGTTTTTCTTGTGTCTTTTTTTTCTTTTTTTTGCATGCAAAGTAATTTTCATTTTAAGATTAAAAATATTTTTATCCATCAAAACATTTTCAAATTTCACATGTGAAATCTTTATAATGTCCAGACAGTTATCAAACAATTCTTAAGAAAAACTTTATATATTATGTTATTTTGACTCACAAATCTCTGTATGGGTGAGGTCGATATGACCAATCTCGTAACCATCAGAATA